TTATTAGTATATTATTAATAATTAATTATTCTATATTAAGAGATCCGTTCGCGTTACTTGAAATCTCTCAAACTTTTTAAACTTTTAAGGTGAGATAGATATGTATTTGGATATTGAAAAGAGAGAAAGCGAAGATACTGAGTGCAAAAAGTGCAAGCAACACAAACAAACCTATTGATAATAATAATTGTTATTCCATATTAATGATAATAAGAGAGACGTTTTATAGTCAAAAATAAGTAAAATATACTTCTTGCATTTTGCAAATTCGTGAAAAGAATTAAAATTCCGTCAAATTTGTCGCAGCATTTAACTAGAATAGCGGTCAAGGTTTTATGCTTAAGTAACAGGACGCTTATCGACCTCCGCGCGTGGTTTATTTCTGGCTTGCAAGTTTGGCTCGTTCAAAATGTGGGCACTAACAGCACGCCAGATATTGTTGTGAATTCATAGATAACGGTACGAGAATTGCGTGAATGTTGACAACCGGCTTGTGCGAGTGACGTCTGAGCCAAATGCAAGACATACGTATGAATGGAAGAAATCAGATAAATCAGATAAATAAATATTAGTGGTAAATATTTTAACGATACAATAAAAAAATTGTCTGCCTGTTTCATATTCATCGTGAAATTATTCGAAATAGAATAAGTATTAATTATTACATTGTCATTTATTCATTATTCCGTGTGACATTTATTTCTATAATATATTGTAATTTAACGTCGCTATATAAAAAAGTTGCAATGTAAGCAACAATGGAAGATTTATCGGTAAGTCAATGAAAATACAGAAATAACAAAAGATACACCGATTCAGTAGCTCCTTCAACAATTTTTTATTTCTTCTCTTTCTTTTAAAATCCACGTTAGTTAATTTAATTAAATAAAGAATTTTAATTTAGTTAAATAATAATTTTGCTGACACAAATTTATTTGTTTTTATTTATTGCAAAAGAATATAATAAAGAATTTTTGTATTTCTATCATATCTCTTAAAATTCCTAAGTAGTCATATTGAATCGTGATTTCTCGTCAAAGCGAGAAATGACACGTGAACTTCTATTATCATTTATAAATAAAGACAATTTAGATAAAATAAAATAAATGACAAGATTGCTTTAAAATATTTGTAAAAATGGACGAAAACTATGCTTATCTTTCCTGACAGTCAGTAAATATTCATAAAAAGTGATAAAAGGCCTGTGTAAATGAAAATAAGTTACGCATTGAATAAAAGCATTTAATGTGCCTTTTATCACTTTTTATGAATATTTACTGACTGTCAGGAAAGATAAGCATAGTTTTCGTCCATTTTTACAAATATTTTAAAGCATTCTTGTCATTTTGTTTTATCTAAGTTGTCTTTATTTATAAATGGCACATAATAAAAATTAATGTGTCATTTCTCGCTTCTGATGTTACAATTCAATATGATTGTGCTATTCAGGATCCTTAATTCCTTCAATTAGGAAAAAGTTATTCCTTTGTAATATACACTTTATATGTTCATGTTTTGTTTGGAATGTCAAGTGTTGAATTATTTTTCTCAATAAAACGTGAATTTGAAAACTAATTCTTCTTTTTAAAGAATCACTTTCTAAGAATATTAACTTCGAGCTCTAGAAAATACAGATTCGTCACTGAGCAAATTTTGATCGCTGTCGTGGGTGGAACTTTCATTCGCGTGTATATTGCCAAGGCTGTATCGATTTTTCTCCTCAGTGCCCGAATAGCAAATTTACATACAATTTCACCCCAGGGAGAACGCAAGTTTTCTATGTATACATTGACGAGTGTGTTGAACGAATCCTGTTACGAATGAATCTTTTATGCCGCGCCGTTAACAAGAAAAAAGTTCA